AAGCAATTAAAACATCAGATACTCCAAATATCGGGTCAGCGTAAGAAAAAGTCATCTAACAGGATGGGAAATATGTAAAAATGTTTATTTTAAAAGGAGCAAATTATCTTTTCAATTAAATGAATAACCATGGGCCAAACTATTGCTCCAGCTTGCACTTCACCCCAGCGGCTCCCGGGGGGATTTCAAGGAAATGCACGGAGCTCTGCTCCATCTGGAAACAGAGGTTGTACGAGGTCCTTCCAAAAAGCACCTCTGCTGGGGAAGAACAGGGTAGGGCCGTTTTGCCATTTCCAGTGGGAGCTTCTGGTGCCCTTTTTGAGAGAAAAAGCATGGCCATGATGCAGGTAACTACACGGCCTCCAAACCTTTCCACCTCTTTGCCATGCGTTGGCATTTCAGAAGTATTTTGTAGAGCTTCAGAGCAAACCCCAGCACCACAAAGTTAAGGACATGGTAAACTCTCTGCAGTTCCTCGAGCTCAGGAGGAAACACCACCTACTTGAAGCACCTAAGTGAACCAGGCCTGTCCTGTGGAACTGATCCTCCTTACGCCTGTCACGTTCTTCAACCTTTTAAGAACTCGAATCCTGAAAAACCTTTCGTTTTTTTTCTCTTATTGCCTTCAGCTGATTATTTTTATTATTACTGTAGTCTAGATTGAACAATTTATGCCTTGGAAAGGCACATGTCCTCCCCCAGCATAGACATCTCTAATTGCAGGAGGCCAAACTAATGCTTCTCGCTGACCGAACAAGGCTGCCCTTTGCATTGAAGGGTTTCTGATCCTGTCAACTCAAACGAGGACGGGACCCCACAGCCAGCAGGGCTGCAATTCCATCACCGCAGCTCTACGACTTCCGACTTTAAGTGAAGAAGGCAGGATTATGAGATTAGCAAACTAAATTGTTAAATTAGCATATTCTTCAGCTCCAAAAATAACACTATTTATAGCACATAGGTGAACAGTACAGTAATGAAACGCAACCCTTATTTCACTGCTAGCACTTACGTTGTCCCCTCTCTTTCTTTCTGCTCAAGCAAAGGAGCAGGTTGGAAACAGCAAAGCGCCAAGAGGCTCTTTGGGAGGGGGCTGCTGCTGTTGCTTTTTCTCCTGGGAGACGTTGCAGGGACAGGGTGGGCATACGGATCCTCTGAGACGAGCGCATTACGTGTGAAAACCCCAGCACCCAAAACTAGACATTTGTGCTGAACCCAGCGGTTGAAGTGAACACTGCAGGGTGCTCTCAAACCCAAATATTTGCCCTTTCTGTGAAAAGGCAAGTACTTTTGCAGTATGTAGGAACCGGCAACGCTCTCCTAAAGGGGGTCAAGTCCTCTGGAAGAGCAGGTCTAGGCTGGAGGATGAGGGGCTGCATAGAGCAGAGAGCTAGGGAGAAGATCAACAGCAGAAAGCAAGCACTGGGGAAGCAGCCTTAAGCAGCAGTCTGTGCAAAACCAAGGCAATCTTGCCATGGGAAGAAGCAAAACTGTTCGTGACAAAGCGCAGTGCATAAGAAAGGGCAGACGGGCCTGGGCCTCATTAAAACACCCCAGAACTGGTGCCGCGCCAGGGCCACGGGAGGTTTCCCGGGGACTCGGAGGAGCATCCGTGGGCACGGAGGGAGGTGGCCGGGCCCCGGCCGCGTTCCCGGCCCGCGGGGCTTTGCTCCCGGCCGCGCTCGCTCCCAGGGCAGGGACAGGGAA